GGAAAAAATAAATGATAATCAGCAAATAAGAATACAAAAGGAAATACATAATTATTTAATATGCATTCTTTCAACTATAATTTTAATGGTCAAATGTTTCTGTGGATTTTGCTACATTTTTGGAAATATGACAGATGACAAGAATATCACCTCCAACACAATAAATTGGAATGGAACAGTTATGAAACTCAAAGGTCTCATTGGAATGCTTAGTTTCCGATTATTCACTTAATAACACACACATTTAGTATGTAATATGGCAAATAGCCTCACTGAACGAGTTTGTATCACACATGGTTTAGATGTGTTTGTATTGCTACATGAATAACTTGAGACTAAGCATCTTGATGAAGTTCTCTATTCACGTGTATATTTTGAGTGTTTTCTTTCAAATCTGAATCATACTAGCATTGTTTTTTTTTTTATGATATAGATTTAAGGTCTGTTAACATTTCATAATACAGCTATGTATATTTTGATTATAAATCTGTTTTCATAGAGAGAGGGGATAAAGTAGATTACTGAATAATTTCATTATTTTCTCACAGCATTGTAGGAATATAATTAATGTATTAAAAATTGCATGTATCCTTCAAAGGAAATTAAAGAATTTCTGCTACAAAATATGACTTTGAATGATTGTAATCTCCATCAAGATGCAGCCAACCTTTTGTTAATATTTTGATATGTTAATAAGCCAATATGAAAGCTAATCAGACTGCTAAAATAATAATAAGTGAAATCCTCTGCTTTTGCATTTTGGTCAGATTAGCTTGATTTTTAAAGATTAATCAATCACAAAAATTCCCATTTCTTATACTTGAAGATTCTGAATGAGGTTGAAGCAACATCAGTGTATGTGAAAGTTCTATTGAAATTGGTAGTTAAATACAAGGGATGCAGATAAATTGTATATTTTAGAAATGGTTTAATTTAAAGATCAGATAACGTAATTTTTTAAACTGTCCTGTGCATATCATTGGTCCAGCAAGACTTACAATGGAATGGCCAGGGGTTTGAAGAATGAACTAAACATATCTGGGCCAATTATTACCTGTGAAAATTTCTGAAGACTTGATTCAATTTAGATAATTTAGAACTGGAAATGATATATTATGTAAAAATAACATATTTTGTTGATTTGGATATTTTTATAAATTGAATAATTATATGTAGAAGTCAAACAAAGTGTTTGCTTTTTTTCCATTCAGAAAACTCTCAAAGACAAGAAATAGTAACTATAAACTTATGTATTCTCATCTGACACTTCTGTACCAATCTAATACATTTCTTTCAAAATTCTAGATAATTAAATGAAAATGTTTTTGATGGATACTGACATCTGTTTTGTTTTTGTTTTCATACCATTATCTGAAAATCTGTTGCCAGAGTCTTTGTTCTGGTTATTGTCGAATGAGGTATAGAATGTACAGGGATTTACAGATGATTTTGAAACTTTAACAATATAAACAGCAGAATGATGACAACTTGTTCTATTAATGATAACTCAAAGGAATTTTCAAATTCTAGATGCCTGAAGATGGCTTATTAGTCGAAAACATTAGCAATGAGCTTTTTCCTCAGTTTGATATAAGCAGTTTGTTTTGTTTTCTTTCAATATCTAAAGGAGAGGGTCATGTTATTGGTGCAAATTGTTAGCTTTGAATGTTGGGATTATCTCTGTAGATTTCAATTTATTCTTTGCATCACAAAAATCAGAATATAGAGTTGATTTTCTTTGATGTGTTGTGGAGAATGAAATGTTCAAACTAATTTATTTTTTACTAGGTGTTACCCGCAGCTTTGCTTGTACGGATTTTGCAGTTTGATAGAAATAATTCTCCCCCGAAAAATTATCCTAGTGCCACGTAAGCCACTATTTCTGCACGTACTTTTTTTGGCCATCACTTGAGTGTCATATAAAACAAAGGATATTGCTCTAAATAGGCAAGCTCTGTCGCATATAATTGGAATGATGGTTTGGGGCGTCATAACCCCATTTATATTCAGTATTTCAACAACCATAGTAATTATTTAATTTATAACATTATATAACACATACCCCTTATTGCTGAGAATCGTTTTACTGCTTAAAAGGAATATTTTCAATCTGATAAATTTTCTGGAACATTTACAATCTTTCTATGATCAAACCAATATGCAATAGCAAATTTGAATTTAAAACGGTTCGAACATTTGGTTAAAAAATCGTAAAACGTAAATATTGTACGTTTGGAAATTAAGTTATTACCACCAGAAATAAAAAATCACATCTAAAATAGTACAGTAGAAAGCCGTTCTTTAGGTTAAGCCTTAATTTTCTCCCTCTTACCTCTTGGGGGAATTTTGACATAAAAACATGTGCACATTTGAATGCAGTGTTGTGTCAAAATTTCAAAGCAATCTGTGAAGAACTTTCAGCAATTTAAGATTTTGAACAAACAAACATTTACATTTTTATTTATATAGATTCTTGTGTATATATCATTTCAGTTGATAGGTTACAATGATATTATATAGGCTATATAATAATAAGTTATAACAATGTTATTGTATAGGTATATAGATTACATTAATTCACGTCTTAGTTTTTATACATGTACATTCGTTAATTTTAATTTTTTCAGTTGTTTTATTGTACAGTGAGGGGGGGTTATTGTTAGGAGGTGGAAATCAACAGTTGTAAGACGAACTGTATGTAAAATAAATAAATATATAAATTAAGTTGCATATATTTTGGTCATGTACAGTACATTAGTAATTAAAATCACTAAAGGATCTGTGCAAAAAAATTTGAATACACTTCTTTGAATGAACTTATATTATATCAATTCTCATTTATAGTATAGGATTATTGAAACATAAAGCATTGAATTGTTAGCTTGGTCTCTGCCTATCTGCAGAATTGTTATCTTTAATCTGAAAAATTGCAAAAACTATATTTCACTTCAGTTAATTTGTATTTATCAAATGTATGTTGAATTGAATTCGTGCAAAATGAATGCCAAGGTTTAGAAGTCAGTTAACCATGTTACTGTTTTAATTTTTACAGTACAAATAGAAACATCTATAAGCCTGATAGTTATATTATAGCCAAACACATTAAGTAGCATTTAATTATTAATAATAGCAGTATTATAGTCTGACCTAATTTGGCAATCATTTGGCTTTAATTTTTAAAGTATTGTAATTTGTGTATTGAATAATAATCTCATTTTGAACAGTTTTTGTAGTTTGTAAGTAATAGAGTATTTGAATAGGGCAGAATTTAGTCTTCATAATGATTAACTGACTTTTAGGCTACTTTATATTAGAATCTTGTATCTCTCTAGAGAATATTGCTTATTTACATTCTCCAAATCTGTATTACTACAAATATGCAGCTGCAAATTTATTGAATTAGTTTCCTTTGCACCACTTTGCAACAAGTGTAAAGAGTGATACATGTGCCTTGAGTGCAGCTTAGCTATGAGACAAAACACAAAATTATCAAGAACAAAATAAAAGCATGGAAAATTACTTTATAAACAAAATATGCTGTAAAATAAATAAATATAAATAGCATTCACTTTGATCAAATGGCAATAGTTTGCTACAGTTGCATAAAGTCTTTTTGTATTATTGATATATGTAAATACAAAGAAATGCCTCTTTATTTAAAAAATGTTATTTGTCTTTTGAAGTTTTATGAAACATTATGCACTTACCTTTATTGAAGATTCAATTAAGAATAATCAACTTACCTCTACAATTACATTTGAAAAATGGATGTTTTAAATCTCCTTTGATACTCATTATCACATTACTAACTCTGAATAATTCAAATTTAAATAAACAGTTGGTAACTTAAGTAATATTTAGATTATCTAAGCTGTTTAAGGATTGACATGTTGTAAATGCAGAAGCTTAGTATTTATTTAAATTTGAGTTGTTCAAATTAAAAGTTAGTAATCTGATGATGATTGTCAAAGGTAATCAAAAACATTAATCATTAATTAAATGTATTACTGCTAAATGTAGTTCAATGTCCTTAAATACTTGAAGTAACCAGTCTTAGATTTATTAAGATTAAATTATTAATGTTAAGAAAGGTTTTTGAATTGTTTACTAAAAAGGTCTTGCAAAATATCTTATGCAAACTGTGACATCATTATGTGTGAATGCATATGCAAACTGGCTAACAGCATTAGATAATCAAACCTTTACTCTTCAGCATAAAGTTCAGCATAGGAAGTATTTCTAGCTGTTTTAAAAGATCTTTATTGGGTTCTTACATGTTAATTTATATAAAATGGTTCAAAATATTAAACATTGTAAAAATTCTAATATACTATGTTAACCTATTCAAAAATGTTTTAGAAATTATTTATGATAAACTTGGTGCGATTAATAAATATTCAATTAAAAGATGCCAAATTCTAAGATTCTATGATTGCTTAGAGTTGATTTTGTATTCTGTTAATTAAAAAATAGTAAATTAGAATTTCTTGTTTGTCTGTATATGGAAGATTAATCCATTCTAATCCATTGCCTTTTATTTTTAGTTTTCATCTTTATTTCTATCAATCACCATAAATGTATTTCAGGAAGTTGATTTCCTCTCATCAGTAGGGGATGAGGGAAAATCAAATTCTGAAATGTGTTTATGATGATTGATAGAATTAAAGAGAAAAACTAAAAATAAAAGGCAATGGATTAGAATGGATTAATCTTCCATATACAGACAAACAAGAAATGGCACAAAGTGGTTCCAAGCAAAATTAGTAAATCAGAATATTAGCATGAATTTCCATCCAAAAAACAATTATATTTTTCTCTTTGATTTTTGTAGATTTTATAATTTATTTATAACTTTATTTATTACAAAATTATGGAGTAAAATTATTTTTAAAGATGCATTAATTAAGTTTAATTTAATCTATTTCTTAAAGAAACATAGCATATTCTAATTCTATATTTCTGACTTTAGTAAACTAAATATATATATTTTTTTAAATTAGTTGAGACAGTCGTTGGAAAACAGCAATTCAAGATCCGGTCCGTCTGTCGTGCCTCCCGCAGCTTCCAGTTCAAATGATGGCTGTACTATCAAAGAGGAATCTTCTCTGACAATTGGCTCATCCACAGTTCCAAGTTCAAGTAGCAAAGAGGAGATAAACATAAAAAAAGAAAAAGATGAAGAGCACAACAACAAAGAAGAAGAAAACGGGGACCGTGAGAAGGGAAAGTCGGACTTTGAGGTCATCCGTGAATTGAAAGCCCAGTTAAAGTGAGTAGTGTCAAACCTCGGCTCAAAAATTCCACCCTAATTTTCGGAAGTCACAATCCTTCTCTCACGCGATGATAATTTAATTTTCAAATTATTACTCCGTTTCATTGTAATTGATTTCTAACTTTTCTTTTACATTGCTGCAATAGTGATTATCATAAATTGTAAGAAACTTAATTATAGAATTGGATGCTTTGATTGATGTCTGTTGGTTTTAATAACTATGAATTTTACTCTTTCTAGAAAATCTCAAGAAGCTCAAAGAGAAATGAAATTGCTGTTAGATATGTATAAAGGCTCTCCTAAAGAACAGAGAGATAAAGTACAGGTATTTTTTTTTATTTACTGTGAAGTTGTATTTATTTATTTATGACTTATCAAAAGATAATTTTTAGCATATGATAATTTGAAATTTTTTCTGTTGTTATTACAGAAAATACAAAATTAACAGCTCCACTTAATGTATGTTGATCTATTATGTATTCCATTTGCAATGCTTTACAATATAATTTATGTCTGGATCTTAGCTATATTTTGAATAATTTGGGAGTTTCTTGTAGATTTGTATTAAATTTGAATTTTAAATTTTATTTATTATAATGTAATAATTTAATTTTTCTTAAAACCAACTATTTTTTGATGCAAGTTTTCTTCTAGGTTTATAATTCTAATTAAAACAATAAATGAACATTATAGCAATATTTATTTACCATAATGTTCATGTTTTATATCACTTTGATAAAATGATGAAAACAGAACATAATTTAAAGTTATTATAAACACTTACTTTGAATTAATTTTTGACAGGACAACCTAATAAAAATTAAGACTGGTTGTTTTGGAAGACAAAATTTGTCACATTTCATTTACTTTTGATTCTGGGACCTTATGAAGGCACTAAATTTTCTTATTTAGGTTATTTATCCATCAAGTGGTGAGAAAAATTTAGTTTAAAATGTGCAAAAGAAAAAAAAATCTGTCTAAAAAAATTAAAACACATTTTCTAAACAAGGAACGGAGACAAAAATGGATGTGTTTTATGTTTATTCTCACATATCAGGAACACATCCCAAATTGAATTTTTTATCCAATTAAAAAGCACCATTAATACAGTTTCAAAAATTCCCCAGCAATGAAGTTTGTGTTAAGTTCTTTGTCCAGTAACTATTATTAAATTATTGGCAACAACAAATTGCATAGTCTACAAATAACATATTTTTAATCTCAAAAATATTCACTAATAGAGGATATGCTGTCTTCAGGCTATTTTAAACAGTTCTAAGTATTGAAGCTGGTAAGATCCTCTAGAGAAAGTCAGTTTCACTGTGTGACTTTGTTTCTGAAAAGAATGAATTTGAAGGTGCAAAAGAATTTTTGTGTTGTCATCTATTAGGAAGTCTTTTTAAATAAATTTTCATATAAGTTTTGTTGTTAGTTAATTTGAACATTGGATAAAAATAAACTATTTGTTGTCATTTCAACACTGTTTTATAAATTCACTTGGGCTTCCTTCTTAACATTCTTCTTTGCCTTCCATCTAGTCTTAGTGTCAAAAATATTAAAAGAAAGCCTAAAGAATATAAAGATCTGTCTGTAATATCACTTGTTTGTTTTCTTATTCCCCTGCATCTTTCTTTGAACACACCTAGTTTTGCTTTCAAGTATATCTTATTTCCTGCTAATGCTACTGTTGTTATACTTTTTACCTGATTTTATATTCATAATTTTTGTTATCATTTAAAATTAAAAAAAAAATGGATTCTATTTTCTCTTTTACAGTAAAAATTCTTATCAAATTATATACATTATCAAATTCAATGAGCATTTTAAGAGTTTAAAGTAATAAAAGAGGAAAATTATGATTTTTTAAGATATTTTTAAAAAAGAATAGAATATTAATAGTAGATCTATTAGGAGTATATGTGATTCAGGTATTGAGCACCAAAAAAAGAATCAACAAGCAAAGTACATAAGATGATTGATTAAAAATATTTAAAGAAGGGTATAAGATCATAGGCAATTGATAAAATGAGATGTTTGAAAAACGGTATTAATGATGGAGGAGAAGTGGATGTAATATTAAATTGGGAAGATACAGAAACATTATGGCATGGCATGGAACTAACTTTGTGGAAACTGAAGATGATAGCAATTTTGATGAGATATAAGAATTTCTTCAGATATTTCAATGTGATTTTGCTTATCACTCACCTAGATCATTAGTTAATTTTGTTTAAAAAAATTGTTTTACAGATTTTACAATTTGTTGTTAATAATGTGATTAAAGAATCCTGATTATATGTTTGTAGTATTTATGATGCCATTCATTTATTTTTAAACAATTATAAATTTTGAAATTGAACAAGTAGAATTTTGTCATAGAGTAACATGTTACTTGAATAAATTTTCAGCTACAAAAGCTTTAGATCTGTTATAAAACTCAGAATAATCAATACATTTGGAATAGTTCAAACGTTTATAATATAAATACATTAACTTATGATTTAAAGTAATTTGTAACATAAGCTTAAGTAACATAGCATAAGTAACACTGAAATTAAAAACAAAAATGTGGTGAAGAAAATATGATAATTACACTTTTAATATATATAAAAGTACATTAAGTAAAAATGCAGAAGAAACAGTAAGCATTTGTATCCACAATATATCTTTTTATTATGTCATTTTCTTATATTATGTTAATGGATATTAAAATAAACAAGTGTGAAAATAAGTAATAAAATCAATAGGCCTTTGTTTTTCCTCCGACTTTTTATAGAATAGTTTTTCTGTTTCTTCTTTTTGCTAAGGTGGCTAGATGACAGTGTGATAATGTGTTACACATGGGAATTTTAAATCTGATTCAGGGCTTCCATAATTTATTGGTAATAGTACAAATTGGAGCATCATTCTCAATCTTCCTGTGCTGGGCAATCCTGTCGTGATTCTAGTCCATCCATGATGGACATAATTATAGCATGATACAGCTTTGATATGGTGGTGACTTTTATTTAATTAATCAAGTTTTTGAAATAAAAAAAAATAATAGAATGGCTGTTTTTCTTCTGTAAATACCTTGGGTTTGATGTAGATCGTATACAATCTTATAATTTATCAATGCATGAAATGATATTTTTAAATGTTATGTTTAAACTTTGCTTTTATGTTTAGATATCTATATATAAACATATTTTAATTATGGTTATTAACTAATGATTAGCTAATTATTTTAATTTATGAACCTAAAATAATATTTTAATTTCTTTGAGTGGTAGAATTGTTTTGTATTAAAAGAGGAATCTTCAATGCACAGCTTGTCTTTCAACTTAAACATTTTTCCAGATAATAGCTTGAAATAGTGGCTAGTTTTAAAGAGATTAATTTTTTTCACTAGCACTATTTTCAATTTCTGAAAGTTTAAAATGAATTGCACCTGTAATAAATAATAAATTGGATCATTATATTTATATATTTTTTTTCTCCCCATTGTTCATAAGAAGCCTATTTCTCTTTCAGTTGTCTCTGTAAAGGTAAAAAATATTTTTGAATACATATTGTTTAAATCAACTTCTTATAAATCATTTAAATAGAAGAAAATTAAATTAAATTTCTTAAAATACATAACAGAACTGTTATCCATTTTCTTCATACTTGACACACAATTATTTCCTCTTTAAATAATTTATTGCATTGTTTGGGGATACTTCAGTATATTTTATAAAAGGAAATGATCAAATAAAACAATTTTGTTTGTATTACATTCATTCATATCCTTGTTAGCAATTTCAAGAGCTAGTCTTGTTTGTTACTGCCCTGCTATATCACAAAAACACTTAAATTTTGGGATTTATTTACTAAGGATTTGGAGTAACATTTGAAACTCTCTGTTAGGCTGCATTCATACTGCTAATGATAATGATGGCTTGACTTTTGTCATTTTCATTCATTGCCAAAGCATACACATTGTTCATTACTTTTCATCTTATAGCATGCGCAATATACTGTACAAAGGCTTGGTGTTATGGTTCCATGGCTTTGTGTGCTTTTAGACCTGACTCGTCTTCTTTTTAAAATTGGATATGCAGAGTAAAATGTTAATTTTTTGACTTCGACGGAGAAATTTATTACTTTTGTTAAGGAAAATATCAAAACATTGGTGGTAATCATAGTCATTCATATTGAGAGAAAAACAAAATGATTTCCATGCTTTGGTCCAGGAATTACAATTAAAAGATATTAAAGGATTTCTGATATTTTTGTATACTTTCAAATACTTTAGACCATTTATTAAGCTTTGTAGTGCTTCTTTCTTTGACATGAGATTAGTGGTTCCTTCATCTTGTTCAAAGAATTGTGGAAATTTCATACTGATTGGCCAATTTTATTACAATGACAAATTTTGAATCTTGGTTAACTTTGGAATTACTAAGATGAAAGACCAATGATAATGACTAGTGTGAAAGATGAATGATAAAAACATCAGCTTTTGTCACTGTTGTTGATAGTGTGAACACAGTCTTACTGTCACTGAGTGTACTTGTAAGTAAACATTTCATTTGGTAATTTATATCAAAAATGATTTTAAGTAATATCATATATAAATTTCAAAAAAATTATGTAATGTTCAGTTATTTCACATTATTGTTGGATTATTTTTCAGTTTTTCAGAGCACTAAGTTGTAGAGTATGTATTATCTATTCACTAATTGAATTTAATACTAAAAGTTAAAAATTTTAATTTGATGCAACTAAAATAAATTTCTGTTAATAAAGTATACAGTATACTCTATTAATGGCAATTTGAGATAATAATAATAATAATAATATATAATAATTGACAGTCACAGTTGTTGTTGTCGTTTAACAAATTTATTGACTACTCATCAAGTAGTCTACAAATTGTCAATGATGTCAATTAGGAATATTATGCAAAACTTTGCAAATTACTTATTTATGACTTAAGTTGTATGACTATGCTCCTTTGGCCAATGTTGAATATAGCTTGTTAATGTAGATGAGATGTAACAATTATATTTATTTTCTCTGAATATTTGGAATACATTTATTGTATTGCTAAGTGTATATTAATAAAATCTAGTTTTTTTTTTCAATTTCTTCACAGAAAACAAATCATTGAAACATTAAAAAAAATGACTTCATTCCAGGAATTAGTGTTTTGTATATTGAGTTTGATTTTTAAGTGAGTAAAGTTTATACAAGACTGAACTTTTTATTTTGACTTCTTAATGTTTGTAGAACTGCATCTTTATTTTATTGTGCCAATGTTGAGCCTTTAGAAGTAATTTAAGTCATTTCAATAATTTATTTCTTAACATTGTCCATAATTCATATTTTAACTTCTTAAACACAAAATTGGTTTAATCTATTCTAGATGAAATTAAAGTTGAAGGGAAAGTTGTTTGACTGGTTTTGCTGTACTTTCTTGTCCCTTTGTAGCCTGGGGATAAAAACAATTTTGTCTCCAGGTACTGTACAGTACATAGAAAGGAGAAGTTTTCAGAACTTGAGTTAAGACAAATATGCAAAATATTCTTATTTGTAGATTTATCAGAATCTATAGTATTAGTCTAATCAACTATTTTGTTTAATTCTTCAACAGATTGAACTATCCTAAGAAATTTATTTATGATAGCTATGACAATTGTGTGGATTTTTATAGAATAGGTAGAATATTTCTCATCAGTAAAAGAAGCCCATTTGAATCCAATCATTTAATATCAATCTCATTTTTCTTTAGTACAAGTTATACATCTGTGAATACATGGCATTGAATTGTTACTCGTGCATTTGAAACTGATTGTAGATAGATATCTTCTGATAGATTGATTCAAAGATGAATTTTTGGAATTCTTCTGATGTCTGTTCCGTGATGTTTTAAGTTTTTTTATTCTCTATTTTTAACCTAATGAGTTTTTTGGATTGAAAATACAGATTCAAGATTTAATGTTATATGCTTAAATATAACTGCAATGTATAAGCATTGATTCTGTTCATCAATAATCAAGATAACTAATGTAGAATTGTGTATATTGCTAGCAGTGGAATAATCATTTTTCCTATTCTGGGAAAGTTCAGAGTAACAAAAAATCATTTTGACAATGTGTCTCTAGAATTGATCTTGAAAGATCTGACACAAAATGTTAGGCTTCCTTAATTAATACTGCACTGATAATCATTTCAACTGGATAAATACAACTTAATTCACAAAAAACTTAAAATATAATATGTACTTTTAGTAAATGGATATTTTCAGCTGTCTTGAATGGTTGTCGTTGGGTTTGAGACTGCATGTGGTAAAAGTGCAAAGGGACGGGATACACGTGTTTGAGTGAAAATAAACATTTAGTGCATTAGATAGATGTGAGCTGGCATTAAAAGGATAGAGCATAAGACTAGTTGTTAAATGCAAAGCTGATGGAAAAAATAATTAGAACAAAAGGACAAGAATAGGAGAAAATAATAACTGTGATGACAAGTCAATGAGAGTTTGAAAAAATTAACATTGCAAGTTACACAAGAGCAAAATCTCCTGGCATTAGGTAGGGTGTTGGCATTATAGCAATTAATACACTAATTTCTGTGTTGTAGATTTCAATGGTCTTACCAACTTTGGTTAGAGTGGTGTCTCTGATGTTTCCATTTAAGCCAGGAAAAATGTTTGTTCACCAAAAGTCCTTTATAGATCTTTTATATGATTTAAGTTGTCCTAATATCCTTTATATGATTTAAGTTGCACTGTACTTGTCTGATATGTGAAAGTTATGAATTTGGATCTTACTCCAAGAGATAGAAGAGAAACCTCTTGGAATAAGATCCAAATTCAAATATTGCTATCTTTCTGACTTTCTAGAAAAAATGCCAAAATAATAGCAATATTTCAAAGATAATCTATAGTACTGTAGTCTGAAAATCTGCTTATTAGTACTTTATCTATTAGAAGGAAAAGAATGGGTTTTATCTTTCCACTATTATTTGTTAAATTGTTTTTTCTTGTTACATTTAAAATGGGCATCTGCATTTTGTCTAGTTTGCCATAAACATCTGATAAATGTCTGTGTAACAAATTTTAGTATCAGCATGTCAAAGGTTGTGGCACCTGATTGTTAGAAATTTTCTAAATCCTAAACAATAGTGAAGACTTTCACAAACATTTTTGAGTTTAAGCTTATATCACAAACTGTTTCTTTATGTCTGTTTTCATTTATAAAGTTTTCAATTACAGCAAAATTTTTATCATTGAGTGCATTATACAATTTACCAGATTGCTTGTTTTGTCATTTTTAAAACAATCAACATTACAATAAACTTTTTGGTTCTACAGACTTTCTAAACTGTAGGCATTGAACAATTTCTAGTAATTTTGAAACCTTTTTTTCACAAAAAGAAGAAAATCCTTTGTTGGAATTTTGTAGCATCTTCCATTGCTTTAAAATTTTGTACAAAAATTAAGTCACTCTATTCAACAAGCAGCTGCTGCTGACTGACTATATGTTGATTTTAAGTTGTGCTTTCACACTGATGACAGTAATGTTAAATTACCATCTAAACATTTCTTTATAATTATATTCTTTGAAACAAACCAGATAATAACTTTCATCCAATTTTATATTCACCATTGATTTTCTGATATCTGATGATCAGGCACTTCTTTTAATCAGGACACAGTTACAAAGGGCTTTTAAAATTTTTGTAACCACTAAACTTGTTTGTCAAATGGCACTATACATTCACTATTGAATTGTGCTGAACTGTATAGCCATGTATTTTTGCCATACCAGAGAAGTATTGCAATTTAATTGCCAATACGATAGCAATGCTTGCAGGACCTCATCAATGTGGCAACCAATGAGAAATGTATGGTGGACAAATGCAATCAATACAGCAGTAAATCAGAAACTTTGTCATAAATATCTTTTGAAAATATAACCAGTAATGAGAATATATCAATAGCACTTATTAAAGAAAACAAATGTCTCTGTAATTGTAAAATCAAAGAAATATTAAATAAGTAATATTTTGGAAAATATAGCAAAAGGAATGAAAATCAATGATAAACACTTTCAATCAAAATTTTCATTTCTTTTTCACTGATGATGACAATGCAATGCATATTATCATATTAAATATTTATATGGTTCTTATTCTGAAGAAAATTGATTCAGCCGCCCTAGGCTTTTTGAACTAAACTTAAAAGTTTCTGAAACCTTTGCCAGGACGATAAACCAAAATCTCAAAAAAATTATTAAATTTCAGTACAAAAATACAAAAAAAAATTAAAGAAAATTAAAAAAAAATTGGCCTACTTGCCTTGTTTTACAGATATTGCTGTCTTGATAATTTGATTGGATAGATCAGGTAAAAAAAGTTAAATGGAAAAGTATTTGTGTGACTCCACTCTACCTAAAATTAAAATAAATAAATAAAATTATTATATATAATGAAACAACTGGATAATAATTAAAAACAAGACTCAAAGTTTGATGAGAATAATAAAAATGAACATAATTTATATGAGTCACTGTTGTTACCACATTCTGCCATTTTTTTTTTAAATAAAAATTTTAAGTCTTCTTCATTTGCAACTTTTTTAAACTTTATCCCAAAGAGAGCCTCATGTTGAATTCCTTGCAGACAGATTGTTCCTGTGATGGCAAGATGGAGAGGGAAGATGTGCTTCTGACAAAAAATTCTCCAGTGTCCAGCCCAGACTCAAACTTGAGTCCCTCAGAGCAGCGAATGGAACATCTTTGCCACATAGGCCATTGTTACTTTGATAACTTTTGTTTATATTCTGATAAAAAATCTGTTTGGAAGATATTTGAAATTATTATTTATTGGTTTATCTGTTAGCTATTGTGACAAGTTTATTACCACTTTGAAGTTTGTGTATTTCAATAATTGGATATTTACTATTTAGCTTTAATATTTTCAATACTTTTAAAATGAGGTGAAAGTTTTCTAACTGCATTTGTTTTGCTCAGTGGGTGAGATAGCGGAAGGCCAGCAAGGCCACTCAGCCTAGGACTTGGACGATTCTCAGAAAATTAGGCTTTTGTATAAAAACATGATACTAAAGTAATATTATATTAGTTTCTTTTATACAGTAATGAAAAAATGATCTTATTTGTATATTTTGATGACTTTTAGAGAGGGACGAGTCCTGCTTTTGTAACTGGCCCAAGTCCATCTTGTCTCTCCTTGTTGTTTATTACAGATTGAAATTTGTCCTGTATTCATGTTATTAGAGAAAAACTGTCAGTTTTTTTACAATGATTTACAATTAAAGTCATATCTAAATATATAACTGATTCTTTAATAATTATTTTGTCAGATTTAAGGTTTAAAAATTTACAAAACATTTAGTATGTATATTTTTTACATTTAGTTAATGGCAGCAGAAAAGAAGGCAAGAGCAGAAGCAGAAGAACTGAAATCACAACTGCGAAGAATCCAAGAGAGTGAAAGAAAGGAGAGAAGAAAGTTAGCAGATGAGGATGCTTTAAAGAAAATCAGAACCTTGGAAGAAACTGTTCAGCAGTTACAAAAAAGTTTAGCTGCTCAGAAACAAGTAAAATTTTTATATAAATATATATTAAATGTTTTAAATATTTCTTTTATTATTGTTTTTTAGTTATAAAATATGTTAACAAGTAGTTTAAAATTAAATATTGGATCAAATTTTGGTAAAAGAATGGATAAATTTTGGGTCAATAAAATTGAATCATTCTCTAATTATTGAATTGGTGGCTGTTCTATTAGGATATTTTGAGTGAGTGTATCAATAAAGGGCTTTGATGACCATTATCTTGTTAAATTTAATGTTTATTCTGAACATCAATATATAAATTACATTTAAAAAGTTTATAGAATACTATTTATTTTAAAATTTGATAGTTATTTAGCTAAGTTTGTCCAACCATGAGATCACATGTCTGAAAATTACTCCATAAGGTTGTCTATCAAATTGTAACTATAGCTTCAATCTTTAACTGATGTGTAAGTTAAAATAAAAATCACTTTAGGTGGCACTTGGCATTATCATGGAGAAGATCTTAAGATTAACTTAATAAAATTCTAACTAAGACAAATTGTAATATATGTTAATAAATTAAATTAACCGTTAAATTTAATTTATACGTGTGGGAGGTGGCAACATGGGTCAAGTGTATGATGACAGGAAATGGGACCACCATGTTTGGAGTTCCAGGGAGCCAGTGAGATGTACTAGTGTTCAGTTGTGTGTGAATAAAGAGTTGTCCGTATTACTTGATCAGTATTATCATATTACTGAGTCATTTATAATACACAAATTAAATCTAAAATTATGTTAAACTCTGCCAGAAATAAAAATTTACACAATCAAAATAGTCTAAGAACTACAATTGAATTAATTTAAAAAAACGAAAAAATTACATCCAAGGAAAACATTCTGCACACGCAGTCCTCTTTTGGACATAAAACATTATTAAAAGCTGAGGATCATCCGTATTAATGTTTTATTAAAAAGTGCATTGACTAATGTAATACCACATGAAGATAATAGTAGAAAAAGAACAATTACATTGAAGAAGATAGCTTAAAATATATAATGATATTTTGAGAAGAGACTTAACAACATATTATAACATTTTAACATCAAAAATGGTTTTGCATTTAAGTTATTTTGTATAATATTTCTAGGGAAAAGACCAAAGGATTGATAATTAATTTTTTTTATTTGCTTGATATCATCATCTATAGTTGTCTTGTCTTATATGTAATCTGGGTGCATCAAATATGTGTAATAAGAGAACATTTATATAGATGTTAAATTATAAATTCTACTGATTGTGTGTGTGTGTGTGTGTATTTATTTATTTTATTTATATACTCAATTTTACTAATTGCATTTAAAATTCTGTTTGTTTTTAAGTGCAGAAACTGTTAATATTTTAGCAATGTACCTTGAACCTGTTATCGGTGTGAGTTACACAAAGGATAAAGTATACCACAAACATTTTTGATCAGCTTAAAGTTCATCCTCAGGTGATACACAGAATAAATATAACACGAAGATTTGAAAATTAGATTGAGTCCATGTCTCTTGAAATTGTTATGTTGGACATGTGCATTTGTATGGGTAGCTGGTATTGGCAGTTAAAGATTGGTGTCCACCAAATTAATGCATGTAAAATGCATAACAGCCATGCATGGGTACCCTAATCTGACCCATAGATTGATTGATCGATACCATCGCTCATGGCATGCATCTGCTATCTACATGCATGGCGACAACCAACCAGAAGATGAACCATGTGTCCCTATCACATTTAATCCATACATTAAATCGTTATATATGGAGATCTCCAACAAATGCCACGTTTGGATCACGTACAGGAGATGTCCAACCATCGTTGACATCCTCTGCAACAGGAAAGACTCCCGGGCATTTACTCTATCCCTCTTAGGGACCACGGATCTGATAGGAACCTTATTTATATCGGCTCCACCAAGCACTCCTTGGAACTCAGAATGCGTGAACACCGAACAGACATATAGCATGTGAGGAATACTACGGCCTTTGCTATTTAAGCAGCTGATCCTTATATTGAAGCGGCCTTTAACTAAGCAAGGATCATCCTCACTTCGCTTCACTCTGAATACATGAGATGGTTAGAGGCCATTTTTCATTTATAAATCTAGCCTCACCGCCATGTGAATCAATCACAAGGAAGAGCTGAATTTGTCAGTTGCTTGGCAGACCCTGATGGACACCAATCTTTAATTGCCAACACCAGCTACCCACACGAATGTGCATGTCCAACATAACGATTTCAAGAGACATAGATTCAATCTAATTTTCAAATACAGTGGTGCCTCGAATAACGGACGCTGCGAACAACGGACTTTCTGTTTGGCCGTTACGTGACTCGAGCAACGGACTGGCTGCGAACAACGGACTTTCCGTTCGGCAGTTACGTGAGGCGAACAACGGACTTTCTGCGAACAAGTGCGAATGATGTTTCCACTCTTTTGCCGTTGCCAATGACAATCTGCTATTTTTATAATATATTAGTATTATTAGAATATATTATTAGTATATCTGAAGTACAGAGCTCCCGTTGGGATTCGGCTTGCTCCCTTGTTTATTACGTACATCACCTCAGTGCAGGGTATTTACATTTATTCAAGTGTTGTGCAAATCATGGCTTCTAAAAAAACAGAAAGGTGATTTCAATTGAAACAAAGCAAGAAATCATCAGAAGGAGTGAAAGTTGACAAAAACTTCCTTGTCAAATGGGGAGAGGTTCAGGAGTTTACCAACACTCATTATCCAAACAGAGCTGAGGCCAACAGGATCAATGATCTCTACAATGACACCCTTGCCTGTCATTTCCGACAAGTGTTGAAGAAGAGAGAGAAACAGACCACCTTGGACATGTTATTCAAGAAGCCAGCAAGGAAAAAACAAAATATGGAACAAGAGGAGTTGACCCTGCAAGCTCCGGTAGCCTCTTCTAAATCAGACTCTGATTAAAAAACAATAAAAAGAGACCTGCTGCAATGTGTAAAAAGTCTATCATATGAATGTGTGAAAAAAGTGTTCCTCCACCTCCTCACAACATCTGACTACCGGCATAATTGGTGACTGCTACATTTTCATTTGTTTATGGTACAGTTATTTTATGCTGCGGAACGAATTATATGTTTTAACGTGTATTTCTATGGAAAAATGCGTTTCGTATAACGGACTTTTCACTTAACGGACGTGCACCTGGAATGGATTAAGTACGTTATACGAGGTACCACTGTTTTTGTGTTCTATTTATTCTGTGTTTTATCGGTTATTCTGTGTATCACCTGAGGAAGAACTTTAAGCTGTTCGAAAATGTTTGTGGTGTACTTTATCCTTCGTGTAACTCACACCAGTAACAGGTTCAAGGTACATTGTTGACTACACCCCAGTGTTGTTTGGAAGTAGATGTTTACCTGTTAATATTTTAATTGTTAGTTTTTAATTTACTAAAATACTTTTTCTTGTAAGAAAAATATTTGAGAGCTAAGAAAAATTAAGTTTAATTAGAATTATATTTTTGTAATAAATAAAGTTTTATGTATACAATTTTTGCTGAAATTTATAGTTAAGAAGTAAAAAAATTTGAATTTATCAAAGAATTTCATAATTTTTCCCATTATAACAGTCAGACATTTATATTTTGGCTTTATTTCTCACAAACTATTATTTTATGGACGAATTGAAAATTTCTTTTACATTTTATGCTAAATGTATAAAAATTAAAGATGCAACAAATATTCGGTTACTATTCAGTATTTGGCCGAATACCGAATAACTAAAAACAGGAGTAAGAAATAAGAAAATTAATTATTTTGGTAACTTTTATTAATGCTGAACATACATTTCAAGTTCAAGAAAGTGCAATTTTTTGCTTATTTGTGTAAAAGATGAAAGGAAAAGTAATATAGTAATATAACTAAGTTATTTTTTTAATTAAGAGATCAAAAAAAGGTAACAAATAAAATGAAAACTACCTACTTATTATGTAGTTTAGTCATCTATATACTCATATATAAAAGAACAAGTCTTGATAGGATAATTAACGCAGAGCCAAAACTATTGGTGCTAGAAACTTAAAAATTTGAGGTTGTGTTCCTTTTGTAAAGTTTAGGTGTGCTAAGAAAAGATTTTATGAAATTCAACCCTAAAGGGGTGAAAAAGGGTAAAAAATTTGTATGAAAATTTTTACTGCATGGGGCACATTAGATTGCAACTTAGGTCATAAAATGTGAAAATAATAATAATTAATGATCTGTAAAGCATTTTGTGAAATCATCCCTTATTATAAACTTGAAAATTAAATTAACTTTTTTGTTTCATTGTACAAAATTATTTATCATAACTGAAGTTAATAAGTGGTAGGTTATGGTGCAGAAAAATCAACTTTTCCGCATTTTTGGGAAGAAGTCTGTTCCTATTTTCTTCGTATATGTTTCATGCTTCACTAAAAAGCCTCTCTGAATACACACTGCTTGCAGGAGCTGATATGTACTTAGCAGACAGTTTGACTAAACATTGGAAAAATTTAGATTTATGTGTAGGCCACCAGGCAAATGGATCGTTGTTTCTCTTTAAAGTTTTCATTCTCAAGTACTTATCAGGGTCACTTGCTATGATGTTCTTTGAAGTTGACTTGTTCGATTATGTTATCAATTCAATTTCATATTTATTTTCACTTTGCAGTCCTTCTCTGTTCTTTTTCCGTTATTTACATGTTTAGATCATTTCATTGTTATCCACATTTGATATCATCACTTATCACATACTGCCATGATGCTCGTGTCTGTCTGCTTCAACTGTCAAGAATTAACGCGATTGGCGAAGCGTAGTGACAGCGGGCCAATAGAGAATAGGGTGCGCGATCCTTGCCATAATGCAGTTTGCGCACCAATTTTCGTACGTGCATTAATCAAGCCGAATATTCGGCTATTCGGCCACTCTCCTGGCCAAATATACTATTCATTGCATCATTAATAAAAAGTCATTTAATTTCATAGAAATTTTGAAAATTGGAGAAAAGAATTTAAAAAATGTTAATAAACTAATGTTTTATTATAACAAATTAGTATACTAAAATTGATTAACCTGGAAATTTTTTTATACTACACAATTTATAGCATATCATGTATAGTGATCAATTTAATGAATTGTTTGAGAGTATTTTTCATTTGAATGTTTTCTATTTTGATCATTTATCTATTGAAAGATCCCAATTTAAAATGAATTAATACCAGGTAAATTTTTTTGTTTAGCTTGCAAGAAATAGATTTATCAGTGTAATGAACCAATGATGCTTGTTTTTGAAGCTTTGTTTCCTAAGATGCTATGCATCTTAGGAAGCATTTAAAGCTTGCATGTAAAATGCAGAATAAATATTCTACATTTAATATGGGCTCGAGGGATAACATTTGAAATTCTTCATTGGCATCATTAAATCTATTCTTTGGAAATAAACTTTTCATTTGATCATGCTATATATATCCATTAAGGAGTTATTCAAACATACGCAATTTATTTTAGAGTATAGTTTATAAAAAATTCATTAGATTAGATGATTTTCTTAGATGAGAATTTAGTGATTTTCAAGAAGGTTTGTTTGTTTTTTTTTTTTTTGTATAATAATTTCATATTACAATGTTACAGGAAGACGAAGCTTTGTTGAATGAAATGGAAGTCACTGGTCAGGCATTTGAAGACATGCAAGAGCAAAACTTGAGGTTAATTCAACAGCTCCGGGAGAAAGATGATGCAAATTTCAAGCTGATGTCCGAGGTAGTTATGCCAAAAGTAAAAAATTTTTGTTACTTAAAAGTCATTTTTAATATAAATATGTCATTTCTCTTAAACATACAGCATAACATATTCCATCTCTTAGCAATTTAAAAACTTAAAAAAAAAATATAATGCTTAAAAGTATAAAGCAGTCTATACATCATTAACAAATAAATGTATTTGGAATTTGTACATTCTGCAGATCCAAAATTCAGTAACAGAGAAAATGTTCAATTTAAGATCAAGATCAAATTTAAGTTAGTGTTTAAAATTTGCAAGTAAGTAAGTTTTCTCTTGATATTTACACACAAAATAGGACAAAATTTTCTGAAAAGTAATTTCAAATCAAAGCCATATTTCAGAATAATGTGTTGCCAGTTTATTTGATATATATTGTGGGTATAGAACAATAATCAACTAATTCTAAATTCTACAGGTTTTCAATAATAGCATATTCCTATTATTCGTATATTCAACATGTTCTATTTGGACTAGATATGTAAAATTCCAATTACACAGAATAGGAAATTTTTGGTTGGTTCACTTTTCAAATCCTGCTTTCTGAAAATTATGGATTCAAAGTTAGCCACTTAGGATTCTATACCCATGATATTATCATTTTAATGCAGAAATTAAGAAAAGAAAGAGGAAAAACTTCTTCATACTACATAAAATATATAAAAATTATAATTTAATATTGTACTTTACTGAAATTCACTGAATAAAGAGTATTTACATTTACAGTAATCCACCACAGCTCAAAGAGAAGGTTTTTGAGTTTTGTCTTTCATTTATTAATATTAGAAAGAAAAAAGATAGAAAAAACACTTATAATTTTCTTTTAATAAAAAGATTAAAAATCATTGTAATTGTTTAGTTAAATTTTTATTGAAATTGTATTCCATTGTCAAATAACAGAAATTGAACTGAAAAAAGTTAAATTGTACAAAATGAATACAGGTAAAGCCAAACAATTGCTGAATTATATCAGGCTATATTATTATTATTATTATTACAGTGGAATCTCGCTTAACAAGCACCTCTCATAACAAGTAATTCGCATAACAAGCAAAGCAAATTGTAAAAAAAAATGACTCGCTTAATGAGCAATATTTTGCATAATGAGTGACGAGGAGAGGGGAAGTCCTGGATTGTGCGCATGTTACAGCAGTGTGTGTTTAGCACTTGTTCCACTAGCATCTTAGCATTGCTTGTGTTCAGACATATTACATATAAACATCAACAATCATAGCCTGTTATATAATAAACATGCCAAACGATATGCCAAATTCTTTGGCTATGTACAGGCTATAATTAAATATTAGAAATTAATTAACTTGATTAGAGCTAGGCAGTTATGCTGCTATCTCGTATTAAATTTAATAACTATAAATAATTAATTTTTAATTTAGACATTTTAAAAATTTAATTTGGAATTGGTCATTAAATTTAATATGATATGGTAGCATAACTGCCTACCTCTAGTCAAATTAATTAATTTCTAATATTTAGTTATAGCCTTTACATAGCCGAAGAATTTGGCATATCGTTTGGCGTGTTTATCAAACATATTATCTGTGATTTTTTTTGTTTTCTGCAAATCGAATTTGCATTCCAGGTTGGTTCATTCCATGCCAGAAGAAAAGATGTAGATGATTCATGCTCCTTAACAATGTGTATTGTATAATTTCCTTTGAATAAATGTTATACATAAAATATTTGAGTATTTTTTTCGGCATGGAATGCATTATCATATTTCATGTTAATTTATATGGGAAAAACTGTTTCACTTAACGAGTAATATTCCGGAACGAATTAAGCGAGGTTCCACTGTGTTATTATTAATTAGATGCTAAGTAATTTAGCACTAGAGGCAGGTGTTAGACATCATCTCTTGCTAAATTTAAAATATTAATTTAATTATAATTATTAATAACTTAAAAGGTCTGGGGGGAGTGTCTCGACTGTCGAAGGTGTTGGCGCGATAATCTTAAGAGAAGAGTTGATACAACATTGTGTGATAATGATTCGCTCTTGGAGGAAAATGCTACCTCAATTTAAGTGGAAGTATAACAAATGTCTTTCTCTGCTAGTAATATTATACCTATTGCTTATTTCCGGTATAGAACCTAACCCAGGACCTTTGCCTAGATCTCCTCAACGTGGCGGCCACACAGATATGCAAAAGAAGGGGCGTGGGAGGCCGCGNCTAAATTAGTAATTGTCATGGCAATTTTTTCTATCACCAAAAAAAAAATAATAATAATAATAATAATAATAGAAATGACATCACTGGGAATTGACAAATCATCACAAAATCTTTTTTATGAATAATCTGTATTGGAAACAAGTGGTCCTCTAGTAGTATAACTTATAAGAAATTTACAAACAACATTTAAAAATTTTCACAAAATTGGAAACAGTTGCATATATTTTATTAACATATATGTATTTTTTAAAAATGGTTTGTTTGGTGATTTTTTAAAAAATGGTAATTGTTAATGTTTATTTACATTATATCTTTAGTTAAAATTTAAGAATTATGTAGAAATAATACAAATTAATAAGAATTTACAATCCTGATTTGCATTATTTTTAAGTGCATTACCATATTGTTGACATTTTTTTGTAATTATAGACGACATAAAAATTGCATGTATGGTTTTTCAGATTTCCAGTCACTTACTTTGAATAAGAATTCTAGATGACATTTAGATCAATTTAAAAATCGAGGAATTCGGAAAATTCTAAAGAATGCTAGTTTTTTAGAATTCTTATTCAGAAAAAACAATTTGTAGCCAAATTAAGAAATCTCGGAAGCAGGTCAAGTTCTGTTTGACCTGCAAAATACAAAAAAAAATATTTCGTAACTGGTTAAATGAAGGATTTCCAGGATACCATTACTGGTATAAAAGAACATTTATTTTTATCTGTAGATTGCTCGTCGTCATTAATCAAAATTCAGAAAAAAGCATTTTGTAATTTTGTGGAGGAAAAAAATGCATTTTCTGCATTTTATTCAGAATTTTTACAAACCATTCTTTCTATTGCATGAAAAATATTTATGACATCTTCAAATAAAAAAAATTGCAAAAACTCTGAAAATGGCAAAACTATATGAAAAGCAGCCTAACATTTCACAAAGTCAAGTCTTGTATAATACACTTAAATAATTGTTGGTCTTTTTATTTTTATACAAGCACTAATGATTTAGTAGAAAATATAAACCAAATAAACTGTGTTTGCAACACAGTTTATTTGGTTTATATTTTCTACTAAATCTGTGGCAGTTGCCCAGAAGTTGCTATTTGCAATTTTTTGTACAATGCAGATACTAAAATTTCATGTCATCTTGGACAGCAACATAAATCTTGAACTATCTGGCAAGTTTAGTTGTGAAACATCTTATCAGATAATAATGAATAGTGTCGTTATTATCTACAGTACACTAGGCAAATTAGTTATTTATTCAAAATATTTTGATTTTTTTTAATATCCAAATAAACAAAAATAAATGTAATTTGATTTGCATATCAACTTTAAGCAATGATCAGCTCTATTTTTATATCTATAAAGTAATTTAGTTTTTTATATAAACTATTTAACTAGTTTGATATTTTTATAAATGAAATTGTTTCTGTAATTTAAATTATTCTTTAAATTTATTCGAGTTACCATGCATTAGTAATAATCAAAAGGATTTCTTAAAATGGAAAATTCATTTTAGTTTAGCAAAGATTGCGATATACAAAATGATAGATCTGGTTAAATTCATTAATATATTTTAGACACTTGCTATTAACCCAGTCAATAACCTGAAACTGTTAAGCTAGCCGTCCCATTTCCCATAAGTCTGGGTGTTGTAAATTCAGGTTAAATTCTCAGAAATTGTAGTTTGGACTGTAGAATGATGTGTGGAAGAAGCTAATAGCCGAATGTGGAACTTAAACACTGTTATTTTTTATAGTTTTAATGTGAAATTTATATCATTGTAAAAGCAAAAGTAAAAGTTTACTGTCCGAGGGCAGATATATAATTGAAGGAAACTTTTTAACTGACTCTAATAAATAAATATTTTATTTAAAAGTCATTAAGATAGCATATAATGGTTGCAATATTTATCATACATTAACAGATAAATTTTTAATGACAGCGCATCAAGTCGAATCAAATTCAGAAACTGCTGAGGGAAGAAAAGGATATGCTGGCCGAACAGGTTACGACGTTACACAACCAAGTAGAGGCTCAGAATCAAGTGGTAAGAAAACTAGAAGAAAAGGAAAGGCTCTTGCAGAATAATCTATCTACAATAGAAAAGGAGCTGAGGTCAGTTATTTTGATATTTTTTTGATGAGTCTGTTCTTAGTAAGTAGGTAAATGTATACATACATTACATCAGTTGGAAAAGTTCAAAAAATGATTAAATATTTAATGATATTTTGAAAACAGAATTTAAATAAAAATATCTATCTTTAATTTATCCATCATATTATTAAAAGTAAAATTTGAACTTGTTCTCTGGTCAACAAATTAATTACCCAGAGAAGGGGTAATTCATTTCAAAAGTTAAATGTAACAAATAACATTTTAGAATAAATTTAATTCAAAGATTAAATGCAATTGCAATAATTTAAATCTGGATTATGGTTTTTCATGTGTGTATATTTTAAATACATAAATAGTAATTCTGAAAGCACATAATAATCTTTCTTTCATTTGTATTAAACTTTCTTTTTTTTTAATTGGAAAAATTACTTTAAAAAAAGTTAAAAAAAAAAAAAAAAGATTATTTGTAAATTTGTTTTCAGTCTAAGACAGCAGGCGATGGAAATGCACAAGAGGAAGGCAATCGAGAGTGCCCAGTCGGCTGCCGACCTAAAACTCCACCTGGAAAAGTACCTGTCGCAGCTGAAGGAGGCGCAGAACACGGTGGCTGACAAGACCAGTGCGGTTCAACAGGAAGCTTTCAAGACCAGGAGGCTACAGGTACTGTATTTTTCTGAATTTTTGTTTATTTTTTGCTTTGCTTGGCTTCATAACAATCTTCTGGAAGTTGAAATTTTGAAGAAATATTTTTTGGAAAACAGATTCATATATGTGATCTGTTTTTCTTAATTTAGTTTGAATATACATCCATTGGAATTTAATACATAATGAGCAATTATTTATTGTGATATAGTCACAATGCCAGGCTGCAATTTTTAATTTATGCTCTGCACCTCAAATTAGTAGTGGCTTGCCTCTGTACATCATGCTTTTCCTTTAACAATACAGTTGTGCTGGTCATCTATCTAACACCTTTCAGGAGAAAATTTTTTAATTGAAATAACATGACTTCTGGTTTCAATTGGAAGTCCTTATATAGTTAATCGGAACCTCCCGTCCCTAAGGTTTCCAGATCTTCTCTTGTATTTCATCTATCTAACTCCATTCTTGTGATTAAGGAAAGACAGATGGCAGACTGCAGACGGATGACAGTGGGAAATTTACATGTCTACAATTTTTTCAAATTGCAGCCCAAAAAATGTGCCTTCTCTGTTTCAGCATTTGGTACAATTACAATTGAATTTAAAAACATTAAAAATTTATCGATAACATTTAAAAAGATTTAATCTGATTTTGCTTTATCAAATGTAAATGAAAAATTATCATTTAATAAATGTTACTTATGTTTATGATGGAGCATGTCACATGTCACACTGAATCAAAATGGAATACACAACTGTCTTGTTCGAGAAGACTCACCAAGACTACTGATGCATTTTGGAATAAAGTAGAACTGTGTTCTACTTTATTCCAAAATGCATCAATAGTCTTAGTGAAGAATAAGAGAAAAAGTGCCACATTATTCAATTATTGTGTTTACACAAATGTAAGCTGCACATTTTCAGGTTTTGATTTGTTGAAAATTAGCAACCTCTAGTGCCAAGCATCTTATTTCTCTATTATTAATTCTGTAGTATTATTTTAATGATTTTTATTAGACCAGTATTCATAGTAGAAAATATTTAAGAGATCAACTTAGTTTCTTACAGCAACATTATAAGTACTTGGATGAAAATCCCAAAAAAGTTGCATTTCTAATTCTTTAAACAGACAATTGCACATGAAGACTGAATCCAATGTTGATTGGTGTAGTTTTAGTTTATCTTTATCTTTACTGACTGAAACTAAAACTACTACACATATAATGACTAAAACTAAAAACTCAGGAATATGTGACTAAAGTCATTGTTGATTCAAAAGAGCTTAACATAGCAAGTGAAGAGGTTTCCTGTTTTGATACCATGGAAGACAATGATATGTAATTAATTTTACTTACAATACTGTTTTGTCTCAAGTTGTCTATTTAAAAATTAATCCATGGAAAAATTAAGGTGCATTTTAGATTTTCAGAGATGGGGAGGAAAAAAGATGCTCTGGAAAATGTCATATTTTCTGTCTGATTATACAAATATAAAATCATGGATACAGTGGAACCTCGCTCAACGAGTATAATTTGTTCCAGAATGTTACTCAAAAATTTTTCCCATATAAATTAATGTAAAACACACTGATGCGTTTCATGCCAAAAAAGTACTCAAATATTTTATGTATAATGTTTATTCAAAGAAAATTATACAATATACATTGTCAGTTAAGGAGCATGAATCAGCATCATCTTTTTTTCTAGTGCAGAATGAACCAACCTGGAATGCAAATTCAATTTGCAAAAGTTGAAATAATTAGTTTATTATTTATGATACAGTACCTAATTCTTCTTTACTAGAAAGCTGTCTAGAGACATTTGTTTTTGCTGACTCTTCAAAATTTGGTGAAAATGCAACACAGCTTTATCATTAGATAAATTTGTAGCACACATAGCCACTGCCTTATTAGGGTGATGCTTCTCAATGTATGATGCAGTGGTTTCCCATGAGTTGAAATTTAATACAAGATGGCAGATAACTACCTAGCTGTAATCAAATTAATTAATTTCTAATATTTAATTATAGCCTGTACATAGCCCAAGAATTTGGCATATCGTTTGGCATGTTTGTTTATTATATAATGGGCTATAGTTGTTGATGTTCATGTGTAATATGTCTGAACCCAAGTTTGGAAAAATGTGTGATCACAAGCAATGCTAAGATGCTAGTAGAACGAGTGCTAAACACAGACTGATGTAACATGTGCACAGTCCAGGACTTCCCCCTCTTCTCATCACTCGTTATGCAAAAAATTGCTCATTAAGCGAGTCATTTTTTGCAATTTGTTTTGCTTGTTATGCGAATTACTCATTATGAGAGGTGCTCATTAAGCGAGGTTCCACTATTCCCAAAAAATAAATTTTTTTTAATACAATTTGATGTCTAACCATTAAGTTTTAGCGCACAAAATAAAATGATGTGTGATAGTCATATAATGATCTTAAGAAAATAAAAATTAAATGGCAGCATTCTGAAATTAAGAGTTTTGTCATGGTAGGAAATCTTAGTTAAGTAAAAAATAGAAATATTTTAAATGTCTTCATTTCCAGGCTTTGTTTTACATATATTTTGCTTATGAATTCTAGAAAAACCAAATTATTGTTCATATTTTTCCATACCAAAATTGATGGGGGATTCTATCAATAAATCCCAATTACTTTAATTTATTTTTTAATAACTTAAAAAAGGCTGGGGAAAAGAGTTTGAGTAATCATCAATCAACCTAATAAAGACAATACAATTTTGGTGTCTATTGTCACTAATCATAAAATTTCTAATTAAGTAACATATGTTTGTTAAAAATTTTATAGCAATAATAATAATAAAACACAAAAATATTTTTTCGTTAGGAAGAAATAATTAACTTAAGGAGAAAAGTGGAGAGGGCCAAGAAGTTTGAACTGGCATCTACGGCCGACGAAGTGCTAATGGAGGAAATCAGGGAGTACAAGGTGGGTTGTTTACATTGAAGGTTCATGGATTAAAAATTTAAGTTTTACATACTGTGCATCACATGAATATATTTTATAAAATGATAAGATAAAATTTTTTTTCTTTTTTTTTGAAACCACAAATTAACTAAATATTTTCTAGGTAACTTTAATTTGTTCTTTAGTTACTTATGCAAAACTTAATAATTCTGCTTTGGCAGATGGTATGAGGATGCATAACTTTGTTAAAGTGTTTAGGGGAAAATCAAGAAACTTTATTTGTCATAAAAAAAGCATTGTCTTTCTATTATAGAAAACAAATTTCCAGAATTTTCAAGGAATTTTATTTTTGAATACATGGCAAAGTGAAAAGCAATAGTATAGGCAAATGNTCGGTTAAAAATATAAGTAAATTTTAATTTTGTATAAAGTATTAAATGTAAGTTAAGTTAAATGTCAATGATTAATTTCGTAACAATTTTTACATTATACTCTTTTTTTGTTGTCAGTTTAGTAGAATAAAAAGTTTTACTTCTGTATTTTTTTTTTTTAATCTATTGAGTAAATCCTCAAGATTTATTTACATTTTTATAAAAAAATAAAAAAAGTAACAGACTGTTGGTCCATTGTCTTTCTATTATAGAAAACAAATTTCCAGAATTTTCAAGGAATTTTATTTTTGAATACATGGCAAAGTGAAAAGCAATAGTATAGGCAAATGATATTAATTAAATATAAATGTGAATTTTTTTTGTAGATAGAGTAAGTCTGGGTGTTAGTCACTTGCAAGAAATTTTGGATTTATAGAGAATATGAGGGATCTGTAGGATTTTAACCACCCAGGTTAAACATATATTATTTAGATTGAGCAGTAAGTGATTATTGATCCGCTAGAGGGTTTGTTTATTCATTGGAAGAGAGAACAAAATTTCTGTAGAGAACATCAGACTATTATGTAAAAAGGAAATGCACTTTGGGCTATTTACTCTATCATTCCTTATATATATATATAAAAATGGACATGTATGTCCCTATATTTCACTTTTCTGCAAAAACTACACATCGTGTTTGTATGTGGTAGTAGCCCCAAGTCTCCATTCATGCATAGGGGTGGTTGCGTCTCGATAGCTATAAGGGTGCGAGAGTTATGAGGCTGAAAGTGGCTTTCTTTTTCGAATGTTTTGTTCAAATTTGTTCAAATTTAATTCGAACATAAGATTCGAATATTGATTCGATTATAGAACGATTGTAAACGTTCCAGAAACGTTGAAAATAGTTCGTTTGACTAAACGTAAAAATTCTCTAATTAGTCTGGAAACGGGGGACCTAATTCTTGCATTCTGTGAAAACGGGTAAGATTAGATATAATGTAATTATCTTAATCTTCACTATCGTTACTTTTTGCCCAGCGAAGCGGGTCCTTGCAGCTAGATTCTAGATTACTTAGAAAAACAGTCTTTTATATATATATATAAAAAAAAACCCAGCGAAGCGGGTCCTTGTAGCTAGTCTGGTAATAAAAATTGATGAGTGAATAGCCCAAAATGCATTTCCTTTTTATGTAATAGTCTGTATAATCAATCACCTGACGTTACTGTAGAGATTTTATCATACACGAATTTTGTATTCTCTTCCAATGATCTAATAAAGAGAACAAGAAACAATCAAGTAAGTAAAGGATTTGTTTTTGCTTTATCATCTTTATATGAAGCATGCAAAGACCAAAAAACAAACTTTTCAGGAGAGAGAAAAATCATTTTGGTTTTACAATAAAATGGTAAAAAATGTCACAAAACAGGCCATAATGTTTTAAGCACCAAAATTTACGTGACTTGTATATAAATTCAACATGAAAATAAAGCCACTTACAGTGTGAAAAGTGGCATTTCATGCTTCATTTGTGTTCTCTCAGATAAATGAAGACATGGCATCTTCTAAACAGTGACAATACAGTCCTTCTAGTTATGTCAGTGTAACAATTAATTGAACAAAAATTTAATACAGCAAATCAAGGGATGGATATTGACCCTTCCCTATAGGTGTTTTGTTACACATTTGTAAACTTATTTAATAATTAATAATCTGTGATAAGAAAAGTGACAGTCAGAAAAAGAAAGAACCTTAAAATTGATTTACATTTGCAGGAGCAATTAACGTGCCCCTCGTGCAAAGTGAAAAAGAAAGACGCAGTGCTGGCAAAGTGTTTTCATGTCTTCTGCTTCGACTGTCTGAAGACGCGGTACGAGACCAGGCAGAGGAAATGTCCCAAGTGCAACGCGGCTTTTGGCGCCAACGACTTTCACCGCCTCTATCTCACTTAGACTTTTATCCGGGGACAATCTCTACATTCCCGATGAAGCCCAGCTGGCGTGACCTTTTAAATTTTGATGCGCTGCAGATGTCTTTTGGCCGGGCATGTCGGTTAAAAATATAAGTAAATTTTAATTTTGTATAAAGTATTAAATGTAAGTTAAGTTAAATGTCAATGATTAATTTCGTAACAATTTTTACATTATACTCTTTTTTTGTTGTCAGTTTAGTAGAATAAAAAGTTTTACTTCTGTATTTTTTTTTTAATCTATTGAGTAAATCCTCAAGATTTATTTACATTTTTATAAAAAAATAAAAAAAGTAACAGACTGTTGGTCATGTTCAGATAGCCCATAATTGTATATTATGTTATATATGTCGTTAATGTATTCTTCAATATAATTAGTGTATAAAAATATCGAGTGAAATTTTCTTATTAAAAGAAATGTCAAATGAAGAATTGGCATCTTAGTGACTCCATTTAATTTTGGAATACATTTATTACTATCAGGGATAGGGAGTCAGCAAATTTTTATGCCAACACTGACTCTATATTTCATAATTATTTTTACTTTCCTGGCCATTATATGAGGTAGTCAACAAAATGTTCATGTTAATATATTGTCTTTTTTTTGAGAGATGTTGCTTTCAAAATAAGTTCCTTCTATATCTATAGAGTTTAGTGCTTCTCCCAGTTTTCAAAACATTTTCCTGGAACATTTTTTGTGATGATGTTAAGCACTTTGGTGCAATCCTGTTTTGAATGTTCAATCAAATCATTATCCTTTCAGCACTTTTTTCAGCTGTGGAAATGGAAAAAAGTCACACAGTACCAAATCTGATGAATAAGGAAAACTATGACCATTTTATTTTTGGTAAGAAACTGTTGAATGGAGATAGCTATGTGAGTGTGTGGGCATTGTCATAATGCAACAACCAGTTATGAGCTTGCCAAAAATCTAGTTGTTTTTGTCTGGCATTTTCACACACTGTCTCAAAATATCCATATAAAACTTTTGATTCAGTTTGACCTTGTGGAACAAATTCTTGAAGAATAGAGAGGTTGCAGCTGAAGTACATGTTTGACATTTGAATTCCAAGCAAAACATGTTGTGCCACATGTTCGTGTCATGCACCGATTCATGGAATGTTGTTGAAAAATGGTGGAAACATTCAAGAGTGACAAAGGTTATTAGTGAAGGTGAATAAACAAATTAAACTATTTATAGAAATTTACAAACAAATTATGCTGTTGATGGTAGAAGATGCCGTGAAAGAACAAACCTACTTCTAGTGTTATGAGCTATTATGAATACAAATATATAAAAATTCTATAGGCACTTCACATCACTTGCAAAAAATTAAATGATTTTAATCCAGAAATTATTTAATTATCTGTTTCTCTACAATATTATTCAGAAATGCTTAAATAATCATGATTTTAACCTAAAACACAGAAAAATGCAGATGTTTAAGCCAATCTTCTAGGCTTACAAGATGGTGGTGCTCAACTTTGACCGCAACCTCTCTAATAATTCTCTCCATATCAAAGAAACAACGAGTACGCCCTTGAGATTGCATCTTGTTTGGTCTGGGTGAGATCATTGCATTATCTTCAAAGCTTCTTTAAGCATTGTGTATGATTCTGTTGTAGTCTTGCCAAGTTTGAAACAAAATTTCACACACACACATACTATTCCTTAAAAGAATTCAATCTAAATAGCATGAAACAAAAACTATATATGATAATGACAAAAATTGGAAGGAAGCTTTTTTGCATTATGAAACTCAAGAGTATTTTAAAAAATATATTTTTTAAAATATATTTTAAAAACCCAAAAATATTTTTAAAAAAACTTACAAAATCGTGTGTGTAAGTGCCTATTTTACATTTTAGGTTCACCAGTCCTGAGTATATTCTGAAACTTTGCAGAATTATTTCTACATGTTGGGGGCATTATACATTTTTGTCTTTTAAATAAAGTAATTAGATGATTGTAGAATTATGTATTCATAATAGGTGGGAAAGTATTAGAATTGTATCAGATTTGACCTTCCGAGTTTTTTGCAAATTTGCATATTTTGAGACAACCCAAACCTCAAAACAGGGAAAAAATTCTGTGGATATGTTGGCATCTATTTCATTTAATATCTCAGGATGAATTAAAGATTAAGAAACAAGATTTGGCACAAGAGGCATTGAGTTATTAAATTTTAGTGGTTAAAGGTTTAGGGGGAGGAGATAAATACACATGACCACTCACTGTCTCAAGAGGGATTGGACTTGATTTTACTTATTAAAATTTAAAACTTCATTAATGAAGTTTTTCTAAAACTTGTCACTAGTTTCAAAATTAAGCTTTGACATTTTCTACTAATTAAAAATGTAAAAAGTTTTTTATGACAAAATCTCATAATAGCCAGGAAAGTTATACAAATTGTTGCTTGCTGGATTTTTTTTATCATTAGACTAGCCCATTGCTAATTAGTATTTATAATTATTATTCACCATTTCATCAAGCTAAGGAATTGTGTTGGCTTTCCCCCCAACTTCCCAGCCTCATTACCACTGCATAAGATGGAATCATTGGAATTTCTAGCTTGCCACCCCCATTGTATTCGGGAAAATATTTATGTAAAAGTCTTTTAGTCTTTTACTCATCAATGCCAAAATTAAGCACAATTTACAAGAGTTTTGTGTTTCTTTAAAACTGTTTATTTTAAATGAGATTTATCAAAAAGCAGAATACTGAAGATTTATCAATGTCACACTATATGGAACCTGTGACCAGTGCTCTACGTGCATATATTGTATATCGCTTGACAAACGTTTTCGAGCGATCTGTTCGCTCTTCTTCAGGTTGACTGAAAATTCCCCGGACGGAGTGTATATTATTTGTTGGGGTCGGGTATCGGTTCCGACTGGGTGGGTCGTTTCTGGCATGAGCGGTTGTGTGGTGGGGAGGAAGCGGCGGGTTGGCGTCTAACAGCGATTGCCAGGCCAGAGACAGGGTTAGCTCTTCCTTCTGGTTAACGCAGGTGGTTAGCCCTGTCTCTGGCCTGGCAATCGCTGTTAGACGCCAACCCGCCGCTTCCTCCCCACCACACAACCGCTCATGCCAGAAACGACCCACCCAGTCGGAACCGACACCCGACCCCAACAAATAATATACACTCCGTCCGGGGAATTTTCAGTCAACCTGAAGAAGAGCGAACAGATCGCTCGAAAACATTTGTCAAGCGATATACAATATATGTGTGTAGAGCACCGGTCATAAGTTCCAGATAGTGTAACGTTGATTTCACCCCGGTGCTGAAAGTAGAACAGTTCCTATATTTGAAGATTTATTCTTTATTCATTTCCAGATAGGAAGAATATAAGGTAAATATTTTTTAAAACAAGGATTTGTATATTAATTCATATATTTGGTACATTTTATGTAAAAACTTCATAATTTCTGGAATTCATATGTAACTCTCTCTAGTGAGTTTCAGGTAATTGACACACTAAAACAATGGTTCCCAAACTTATTATGCCCATGAACCCCAAGTGAAATAACTCTACACAAGTACATAACTTTGATGTTTTGAAAAATTTACCACTTTGCAACAGTGTTTCACCTGTGTGTCGGTAAAAGTCTCTGAAACTCATGCACTTGTAGAATAATTGCACATAAGTCCAGCCTGTACTGCATTCCTTGACTGAATGTGACATGACAGTTGCAAATTTGGTGCAGTTTTGCCTGGGATATTTATGGAGCAATGTCTTGAAGCTCTCCAACAAGCATTTTGTGAACAAGCCTCATCCGAGTACTGTACAATACTGTGTACAAGTGATATCAGCACTTTTTATCCTGGTGCTTCAATCTTGATGGTAATGAATGTGAAGGATTGCCAAGGTCCTGCTTGAAGAAGACAGATGGGTAAGTACCAGAGAGCTAGAATGCAATCCCAGCATCTTGCTTGGGTGAGTCATTACCATCTGCATTTGAGAAAGTTGTGTGTATGTTAGGTACAGTACCTCATCAGTTGTAGCTGAACCACATGGTGGACTGTGAATTTTTGAAAGTTCATGCTGGAGAAATTTTATGGTGGAACATCAGAAACAGTCACCAACATACTGAACTATTACAACATACATTACTATTACAATTCTGAAACTAAAAATCAGCAAGCAGTGGGTAGCTGAAGGCAAGGACATCCCCATTAAGTTTCTGTGAGAGTGCAGCATTGGAAAAGTCTTGGTTGCAATTTTTTTCATTGTGGCATCCTTCCACCTGTCATCCTGGAATAAGGTTCTATGGTGATCAGGGAATGGTACTCTTCTGTTTGCTTGCAAAAAGTACTTCAGTCACTCAAAGAACATCCAAGATCCAAGCTATGCAATATCATGATCCTTCACAATAATGCTCCCAAACACACAGCCAAAGTAACCCAGTTGTTTTTGGAGTCCTGCAAGATGGTCCACCTTCCATATCCTGCTTATTCGCCAGACCTGGCAATATTCTTGCAACTTCTTTCTCTTCCCATGGATGAAGGGAGTTTGATTCAAAGAAGGAACCAGTGAATGTGATGAAAGCAGAGTTCAAAGTTGCAAGGATGCTTTTTGGACCAATTTTCAAGAATGAAGAAATGCATCATTTCTCAAATATTTTCAATTGGAATCAGAGAGATTATGATTGTGTGTATAAAAAAATGAATATCTGGACAACCATAACGTGTTTCTGTGCATTTTTGACTACCTCACATTGGGTGATCGGTTAACGAACTAGTTCAGACTGCAAACAAATCGGACAATGAACAGTTTTGTGAATGATTTTTATGTTTGGATAACAAACACCCGACAGAACAAACACAAGAAGAAGCGATGCTGCATTTAAGATTTGTAAAACTATATTTTAATGGCATCTGTGAATGGTTTATGGAACAAGACTTTCATAGTTGTATACATAACTTTTTTGCACTAGTTAATTTCTGTTCTCTGAATTTTTGTAAGTGTTTTTCTGAACTTATTTAAAAAACTGATAATAATATGGGACCTAAAAAGAGTGGAGTGTCAGAACTGTGTTCACTATAGAAACTAAGCAAGAGATAATAGCCAAGGTAGAGAGTGCGCAGAAGATGACTTCAACAGGTCTACAATAGATACAATCTTAGCTAAGAAAGATATGATCAAAAAGACTCAAGCAGATAAAGGAGTAATGAAATTACATCTGAGAAACAAACCTGTGCCATCCATGAAAAAATGGAGATTGCTTTTAGTTTGTTATTACATGTAAATAAGCAAATAAAAAAATTAAATTTTTTTATTTGCTTATTTACTATTTTTTGGGGTGTCCAGAACAAATTAATCAAATTCCAACAAAAATCTATGGTAAATCAATATTCAGTTAATGAACAATTCAGGTAGCGAACATGGACTTGGAATGGTTTAGGGATTATGTTCGTTAACCGATCACCCACTGTATTATGACATAAAATGGGTTATATAAGGAATCCGCATTCCATACACTGGTTGCGAGAGCTTACTCGCATTATACGGAGAGGTCAGATACCAGCAAGGAACTAGAACATCTGAAACAAATTGCATCCAACCATGGATACAGCCGCACATTTATCAACACACTATTGTCCAAACATTTCACTGTGTCATCCAACACCAATACCAATGTTAACAAAACAGAAGCTAATCGAGTAGTTCTAAGCTAAGAACCATCCCTTCATCACTTATACAGAAGGATTGCAAAGATTTAAACATACACTTAACATACAAAAGATCCAACGTTTTCTGCCTTCTGTCTAATGCAAAGGATGGCACTGAAGATGCTAAAGCACCAGGAGTATACCGCATCCCACTACAGGACGATATGTTCTACAGAATAGTAATGTATATTAGATCCACGTGCAGGCTAGGTTAAAGGATCATAAATATGATGTACAAAAAGGAAACATTAATACAGTTCTGGCATGTTATGCCAGGGATTTTCCCCTGTTGGGACCAAGCTACCCTAATACACAGGGTCTTCAACCAGCAAAACAGAAAGTTAGAAGTGGGAGAGATCTACAGGGTGGACAGGAATGGGGCCTGCATCAACACGGATGCCATCTGTGTACCAAATGCATGGAAATACTATCTAGACTCATAATATATGTCATATCAGATACATCACAGTCTTTATTCGAACGTATTTGAAACTTTTAATATTAGAACGCAACGGCATTCTGTTTATAGAACAGTTTTTCTATTTCCCATTCTACAGTTCCTGACAAGAGCTGATGAAATAGTGGCCAAAAATATTAGAATATTGAATTTCTTTGCTGGAAATTTTGCATTGAGATGTAATTTATTATCTATAAAAGGGTTGTCATGGCATTTCAAGATGACCGATGAATATTTAGCTCACCTGATTGATGAATTACAGAGTTCATTGAAAATTCATCATTTAGTTTGTCTGTTGATCAAAGGCATTTTATTAACAGAATTAATCTGATACTACTAAATGTCAAGGAAAAGGATTTTTTGTTTAATTGATATCAGTAAGCACATTACAGTGGTACCTCAGGATACGAAATTAATCCGTTCCGAAACTGAGATCGTATCATGAAAATGTCGTAAGGTGGATCATCTTTTCCCATACGATTACATGTAAAACCAAATAATTCGTTCCAACGCGAAAAACATACTCAAATTAAAGCCAAGTAATACATTAAAAAAATAACTGTAGTAAGAAAAACAAATGAATAATGCGAACTAATGTAACGTCGTATAGTGAGTTTTTGTTCGTATCGTGGAGCAAAAATATGTTCGAATTTCATGTCGTAGCCTGAAAATTTCGTATGCTGGGGCGTTCGTAACCTGAGGTACCACTGTATATAGAAATTGTACTAACCTTTTTTCTTTGAAATGCTTTGTAATTTCTCCATTTACACACATTACTAACACTATTCATTTCTTTGCAAATTAATCTCCAACAATTACCTTTTCCACAAGAAGTAATAATAGAAGGGAGGATATTATCCAACTATTATTATTTTATTTTTTTCCAACTTCATTTATCAGTATTTCAGAAGTAAAATTACATCTTCTCTTTCTCTCTCTCATTTTATCACTGAGACTTATGTTGGAGACAACATTCACCATTTTAAAAGTTCCCAAACTATATTCCTATTGGATGAAACAGTAAACTCTCAAAATCAGATTATTGATATTTTGTCATAAATGGCAAATTGCAGATACAGTATGTTGTAAATTTGTTGTATTTAATGACATCACAAGAATGTAATATTGTAACTAACAACACTTTTGTGAATCTGGGCTGAATTCAACATTCTAGTTGACTTCTGTGAGAATTTTTGTTTTGCATTTGTTGTAAGGTGCCAAAATGCATTCATATACCACATTTTAGATTTAATGCAAACAAAAATTTACTAAAATGGGTATTGAGACATTTTACTAATAGGACAAATGGATTTAATTGTTCAATTTTGCTGAAATGTGGATATGCAACTGCAATTTCTTATTTACCTTATTTCCTGGCAGAATGATGGTAGGCCTGATATTCAGATTTCCATTATAGTCTATAGTGAAGGATGAGTGGTTGCCAAGAAAATTATTCTGAAATTGCTTGAAATTTTATAAAACTTGAAAAAATTCCAATTTCAGAACAATTATATTGACTGACTTAACATTTTGTTCAACAATAGATTTGCATTAAGAATCCTTTGGTTTTCAAATTTTATGAACTAATTTATAACCTATGTATTTAAAATTCTATTATATTATTATAAATGCAAAATATTGTTTGGTTTTATCAAGAATTGGAACTTGAACAAATGAGTCAAGTAATTTTGTCTAAATTTCCTTAACTGCAAAAATGTAATTGCTGTTTGCAATCATTAATAGCTTCATTTTGAATTGTATTATCCAAAGGAATTATACTGACAAGATTTAGTTTAAAAAGTACTATTTAAATCATAAATTTGTGCCATCTATAAAAATATAAAATACAACTATTTAAATTCATTTTTTTGTCTTTTGACACATTAGATTTCACTCGATTTAAGCATTAAACTGAAAATTTTAACAGTTTGTTGTGTAATTGCAATGATTGATCGATTAAAATAAATACCTGCTACAACAAACAATATAAATACTGTGGTCTAGTGGTGATTCATTATGCTGAGTTCTTCCTGATCTCTTCTTTCGTTGATGTTACTCAACAGTCTCTCCAGAAAATTATTAAACTCTTGTCTGACAACATTTCCGTCATCCTCCACATTGGTCTGTATCCAGTGGACATGGGAAAACAAGCTGGCTGAAAAGAGAAGCACACTCATGACCAGATTTGATTATTACATTGAGATAGGTCTTTATCTACTTACATAATTGCGAGAAACTTCCTTTTGGATTCCCAGGTATTTGGTGACAAAACACGATGCACTGGTTGTCTTTTAGATTCTGTGCCTGGACGAAATTGGCATACCTGCAAAATAAAAGTTCATTAAATTTATAAATTATATAATAGTTTTTGATTATAAGAATAGAAATGCAACAGCTTATAAAATTTTATAATTGTTAAAACTAAAAAGATGTCACTGCCCAAAATTACATAAAACATAAAAACTGACATGTACAGGCATACCTCGACTTACGTCGTTTCGAGTTACGTCGTTCCCGATTATACGTCGCTTGTTAAAAAAGTATATGGAAAAATAAAAATCAAGTTTAAGTCATTTTATTCGACTTTACGTCTGTCCGCCACAAATATTGAAGTCGTAATATCACTAGATAAACGTTTAAAGCACATAAAATCATATTAAAATATATACAAGTATGTACTGTATTTACAGTACACGCATTCGTAAATTTAGATTACTTTTTTTGTACTATATTAAAAACTAAAATTTATTTGTTTGTAAGCTTAAAATAGATTTTTATTAACCATATATTATTAAAAATGCATTAATAAATAAAATACAGAACCGGGAATGGTAATTTACGGTTTAGCCTAGTGACAAGTAGATTCGGAGACAAGTAAATTCGACTTACGTCGTTTTCCTGGAACCAATTACCGACGTAAGGCGAGGTATACCTGTATTCTGAATGAATACTTAAACTTAAATACACATTTTTTTTAACAAACCAATACCCCTGTGGAAATTCCATTATTTTATCCTAAATAAAATGAAAATTTCATGCTTTTTGTGCTATTTTAAACAAAATTTAAAATATTCAGCATTTTCAAAAATAAGAAATTTTAGAAGAAATACAGTTCTTTGTAATTATAATTTTTCTAAGAACCACTTGTTTCAGTCCATGCATGATAATAATCTCACAATAAAAAATCCTGGATCAAATGAGTCTGATCACAAAATTTGGATACAAAAGTCTTAAAATTCCATTACCACATGTCCATTTCTTTTTCTACGTTTGGATGATCGGAACTGTATAAAAATATCACTCCATGAGCATCTTTCATCAGAGCAGGCCAACATGCTTCAAACCTGAAATAAAATAGAATTTACAAAACTATTAGTCATATATTTTTCACAATATATCTCATTAAGTTTGATTGATACATATTGAATGTATAAAGAGCAAACAATTAATTTCTTCACAAACAATTCAAATTTGCTTGAAAGCATTCTAAAAACTGCTGATTTATATATTTTTGCCTGTTGTAAGATTAGCCCAGTTGCATATAAAATACATGAAATTCCAGACCATACAAATAGTTTAATCTGTAATAGATAGCCTATTTTTTCTGGATATCACTCCAGTATATAGGTTTGAATCCATTCCAATGATTTTAAAATAAATAAATAAATTTGTAGATTCTAAGACCTACTTTTATATCTGTTTTCTCTTGTACAAAAGAAAGAAATCTTATTTATATCCATGGTCAGAAAGAACAATCAGCAGTCTCACAAATAGACCACTCTGGTTTGCATTATGATTTTCAAATAAAATTTTAAAAGATTCCTGATGTTGATTTATTGTTACTGATGCTGATCAGTAACAATAAATTATTTTGATCATTAAGTAATTTATTTTTAAAATTTCAAAAATATGTAGACTGAAGATATACAATTATCATCTTCCTCTTCTGCTGTTTACAATCACCAGGAACAATCTGAAAACAGTTTTCCCTTAAAGAGATAAACTTTTATTTGAGGTTGCATCTCTGCAAAACATGTAAAAATGGATAAAAACATCCTCTGGAAACAATGCCAATGCCATAATTCATGACAATAGCTGATTAAAATTAAGAGTTGACTAACAGTATTTATCTTAAAATACAAAAAATATATATATAGAAGATAGAAAATTACCTTTGTTCTCCTCTTCCATTGTTTATAATCACCTGTGACAATTTTAATCAATTACAGTGACAATTCCATGTAATTTCCATGACAATGTAAATACTGTCAGCCAATTTTTAATTTTAAAAGTAATTTCTTACCCAAATTCTAAGAACAAATCTTAATTAATAATTGCTCCAAAAATGCCAAATCTAACTATTTCCCCATTTTTATAATTCTCATTCTTTTACAGTTTCTATTCTAATATTTTCTAAAGGAAAGCTTTTGCTTTTACAAATAAAGCCTAAACATGCTAATCACTAGTTCTCTTTTGTTGCCAATGAACTGTATCTGTCCACAGCATCTTTTTTACAGTTAAGAAAGTGATACATACATAAAATAAATTTTGTGTATCCACATCTCTTGCTATGCAACTACATGATCTTAAATATATGCTTTTCTGTAACATTACAATACAGCAAAACTTCGATTGTCTAAACAAAAGTAATGTATTCACTTAAGGTTTCTTAAGTGAATACATTTCATTTCTCTACTACTATAAATTATAGAAGCTTTGCTGTGAATGCACCGAGCACATGAATACTGTTGTACTTTTAACCTCAACCTTACCAAGTGAATGGCCAATGCCAAGGTGATAGTGGAATATAAGAAGAAGGAATTGCTATAAAACCAAAAAACTACAACACTTCTCAAAAAAAGTCTAAGAATGATAACAGAAACAAATCATTTTGCAATATATGTTACATTTTATTAATTAAGTTCAATGTCAGATAAACTATTCATAATAAAATGTAATACAGTAATATACATTTTTTTTATTCTTCAAATTATTGTACATATTAGCCATGTAATAAATGATATAAAAATTGCTCTTCTTATGTATGATTAAATTCATTAAGGTGTAAAAAGAGACTTAAAAGTGACCTGCCATATAAATAATAAAGTCCAAAATAGCCACAGCTATGGCCTTCCGTTTTATCCAAGTTTCTCGTTATCTGAGGTACCGTAAGTCCATGTTAGCTTGGATAATGAGGATTCTATTGTATTAATAATTCATTAAAATCTTGTATTTTTGTAACTCTGATGTTCTATAAAATCTAGTTATGCCTTCAATAAATTGGTATCAAATATTCAATTGCAGAAAAGAATTTTTGTCACTGATACAAACATCAACTACTATAAGTTGACTCTATGATTTATATTTATTTTAATGGTTTACATATTTTGTATATAAATTGGAATTTAGTAAAACTTCACTTATGTGGCCACCTTCAGGATGTACAATTTGTGGTCACTTAGGTGGGGTTATGAAAAAATTGACACAGAACTGTAATTAGAGTACCAAAATGAATCCTGCAAAAAGTTTACTACAGATGATAAAAGTAAAAAAAATAATTAAAAATAAAAAATTCGCATAATACTATAGGGTTGGCAACTAAGTGATTGCGGATTTTAAATAAGAAGGAAAATTCAAAATTTTTGCTTAAAAATATAACTTTATTCAATTAGGTATTGTCCATTTTTGTCAATGACCTCTTTCCATCTTTCAGGCAGTGTCATAATTCCATGTTCATAAAACTTCTGATTTTTGCCAGCAAAAAACTGAATTAAATGTGTTTTTACATCATCAGCTTCATTAAAAATTTTACCATTTAAGGAGTTCTGCATGGAACGAAATAAATGGTAATCTGAAGGCGCAAGGTCAGGGCTATATGGTGGATGTGACAACATATCCCAACCTAGCTCCAATAATTTTTGGCAAGTGACCAAAGATGTGTGGGGCTTTGCATTATCATGCTGGAAAACAGCACCCTTACAATTTGCCAATTCTGGCTGCTTTTCTTGAACTGCATCGCTTAGTTTGGTGAGTTGTTGAACATACACATTTGAATTAATCGTTTGGTTTCTTGGTAAAAGTTTAAAGTGCAGAATTCCTTTATAATCCCACCAAACTGACAGCATAATCTTTTTTTAGTGAATCTCAGCTTTTGGTGTCATCTGGGCTGGTTCATCTCGCATCACCCACGATATTTTCCGATTAATGTTGCTATAAACTATCCACTTTTCATCGCCAGTAATCAGTCGTTTCAGAAATGGCTCAATCTCATTGCGTTTCAGAAGTGAATTGCAGATGCTAATGCGTTGCGTCAAATGAATTTCCTTAAGCTGACGAGGGACCCATAAATCCAGTTTCTTGATATAGCCAAGCTGTTTTAATTTTTTTTTTTGAATGCATGTATGTGATACATTGAGCTTCTGTGCAATCTCATGCATTGTGCTATGATGATCTGAATCGATAATGGCCTTGATATGGGTCTCGTCAACTTCAACTGGATGGCCAGATCGTTGAGCATTTTTCAGTGAAAATCACCAGAACAAAATTTGGCAAACCAATTTTGACACTGCCTTTCTTTCAAGGCTTCATTTCCATATAACGCACATAACTTCTTGTGTGCTTGTGATGCGTTCTTGCCTTTTCAGAAATAATACAATAAAATATGTCTGAAATGCACGTCTTGTTCTTCCATTTTTAAATTGGGATAAAAACGAAACTAAATAACTAATTGATACAATTTTTTTACTAAATTAAAGATGGAAGTCCAAACAACAAGAAAACAATATAGGTTAAATGCTTTGAACACGATGACAAAGCAAAAAAATGTGCTAAGGCCACCTATTGACAAAATCTGCAATCACTTAGTTGCCAACCCTATATAAATCCTTTGTAACAAAGCCCTACATAAGTCAAACTTTTATACAAGATAATATATTAACAGTGGATAATGAAGTATTGAAATACATGATATCGGTACATGTACTTATACAGTGAAATCAAGCTCTTTGCAATAGGGTTCACTCAAGTACTAAACAGAATCTTAAGAATTCAGACAAAGTTATTAAGTAGAATATAGAGAAAATAATAGATATAGAGAATATAGTAAATATAGAGAATATAGAATATAGAATATAAGAATATAGAATATAGAGAAAATAAAAATATAGAGAATATAGTAAATATAGAGAAGTGTCCAAGTGTCAGAAAAGTGTTAATAATTAAACTGGCTTTTAGATGAAATTCATTGATATTTTCTTTGTTGTATGTTGCAAGTGATGTAGGCTAATTATCACTGATTTATTGTAAAGGAGTAAAACTCTTCTGTGTCTAACCATTGTGGCAAATCTAATAAAAATTTTGGATAGAATAACTAATCATCAAAAACAATAATGGATTCTACTAGATATTAAGCAAACAATATAATTGATTTATAGTTATATTTTTACAAATATAATCAGGATTTTGTATAAAATGATGGAACAAATACATAATTGTCTTTCTTTTTACTAAATTTTGGAGATTAATTTGTTGAGTATAAATAAAGATTTATTTTATTTGAATGTCATCCATTGAAGAGATTTCAGCAAACTGTTTCAAAACTTTAGCAACAAAGCTCAATTCCATTTAAAGCTCTTTAAGTGAAACTGAGCTTAAGAATGTGTGCTTTTCCTGTTCTGTTGGCCACATAAATGGCGATAAATGTCACTTTTGGATACTCCTAACTTGGTCACTTTATGCAATTTTGCAGGAGAATTTCAAAACTGCACAAGCATCACAAAACAAGATTTTACTGTATTTCTATTTGTATTTACATCATCATTTACATACATAGCAGAACTCTTACAAATTTTTCAAATTTTACATTTAACTTTGAACTTAATCCATATTTTTCTTCCAAAGGAATACAAGAATACTATGCAACATTATATACAGAGTGGGAAAGAAAGTAACTTAACATCTCTGCTACAGAACATAGAATGTACCCAAAGTTAATTCACTCATGTCAAACACCATTAGATCACAGGAGAAACAGATTTATGTGTATTACATGCATGGCCGCCATCTTGATGGTGGATATGTATGTAACACACATCAATCTGTGTGTAAAATTTTATACATAAATACATAATCAATATGGCCATATTAAATTTTCAGTTGCAGAGTGAAACTGAAAATGGCAAAGTGGTCCTGTGACACATCATTTAGGGTCTGGATTTCACAAGGAATTGATTGCAAAAAGATTTTATTGACCTACCTCAAACAGTTAGAGTTGTGTATGTTACACGATGTGCTCAATGTACATTCTATTTTTTGTAGCAGGGGTGTTAAATGACTTTCTTTCCCA